TTCGGCCAGATCTATGAGGATAGGGAACCTGGTGGCAGGCCCCTTTCTCTGTTGGAGAGGAGTTATTGCTGGCTGCAGCTTCGCTGCGTCGTATGTCACGGCGCACGGCGACGACAGTTTCGACGGGACTACGCTCCCCCCCAACACCCAGCTGGACCAATGCATCGATGACAGCGCCGTCTGTGCCACGGGCGCTGTCAACCAGGTTGTCGCCAGCTTGAAGTGCTCAACCATTGGCCTCCATAGCGAGATTGTTTCAGACGTGGAGCGCGGCATCTCGCTCGATAAGGCAGCTTTTGTTACTTCTGGCGGGGGGGGGGGGTGAAGGAGCAGCTCCGTAGTTTCCTCGGCCCCCTGGCTGGAGAGCCCATCGATAGCGCGGTCAACCTCGGGGTCGATGACGCGGCTGGCAGGCCCAGAGGATTCGGACAACGCAGCGGGAAGTTCAAAGTTCGAATGAACCCGTCTAGGCGTGCCACCCGTAGAATGACGAGGCCCCCTTCCCAGCTGGGTGGATTCGCGAAGTGGGTCTGGGTCTCGGGGGCGCTGCCTGGAGTTCTCTACGGGGCCGAAGTGCATGGCATTGCGGATCTCGAGCTTGCGTTGTTCCGTCGCGAAGCCGGCCAAGTTTTGTAGCCCGGGGCGGGGGGCAGGTCCTTTGCCCCCACCGCTCTTGTCCAGGGCGACCCCAACTGGATTGGCTCTGTGGCCCCCGTTGTCAGGCACAGTAAGGAAGTCTGGGCTGCCCATGCCCATGCGTTCCCCTGTGCCCTCCCTTTCCCCACCTTGAGGCAGTTTTGGAATGAGGCCTTTAGAGGGCCGATGCAAAAGTGGAGGAGAGCCAGTGGGCCCTTGACGGCCATGCGTATGTCAGTGGTACGTCGGACTTCGTGGCCCTGAACTCGGGCTTCGGCGAACCCACCCAACTTGCGTTGGTGGCGCCAGCGTTTCTCAAGCCCCTGCTCCGCGACGCGGTCCCCCGACAGCTTGAGTGAGACTCCAGCGCCAAGCTTATTTCCCCACGCGGTCGATTGTGCTTTGACATCGCCAAAGGACAACTTCGATTTAAACGCTGGTCGCCGATGGAGAGAGGAAGGATTCGCGGTCTGTGTTGCGACGCTTTGTGGGCGACAAGCCGTGCTGCGCAAGCTGGCCGCACCATGCGTCGATCGTTGCGATCAGTGCGGTCAGGTGCCACTTGCGCCGTTTCACGGGCTCTTGGAGCCCCCTTACCACGATGAGCTCAGAGCCGAGTTGATCGACCAAGATGTCATTGACGCCGTTTCCGCGGCCGATCCGTCGGGCCCTCTGACGGAGCGCTTGTTTTGTAGGGGAGTTCCCCTTTCGCCTTGGCGACGCGTTCCCTCGGCCCCAGGTTGGGTCCCGAGATTTCGGGGCGAAGGTGGTTTGGCGCGACCCCCCCCCCCCCCCGGGTGGTGGCAGCGTCGGCGGTTCTATCTTTGTAGGAGGGTGCTGTTTCAATCATCTTGTCTCGGAGCTGTCGAGGGCTGGGCGTGGTCTTTCTTTGGTCGACGAGGGCGGGGCTGAGCAGCGCGCTATTTACGCGCCTGTTTTCGCCCCTTTCCCGCAGACGCCGCAGCGTGCTGAATTCGCCGCACCGGCGAGGGCTGGGATAGAAGTAACTGGCCCGTCTTCGGTGTATAGTGATTGCAAAAATGTTGCCGACCTTGCCCAGGCCCAGGGGGGCTCCTGTTTTCCCACGAGCGCCCCCATGCTGGTTCCATGATAGTTGTTTCAGCAAGGCTCTCCAAATATTTCGGGGGCTCGTAAAGTCAGGGCCCGCCTCGACCCCTGCGAGGCTGGAGTATGGCCCTGGAACCCCGAGAGAAATGGCGCAGGCTAGGAAGCGTCTCCGCTGACAAAGCAGCGAAGGCAGGAGCTGATCTTCACCCTGTAGCTTCGTAAATAGAACCAGAAGCTTTAATGTTTTGTATCACGGTGTCTAAGGCGGCCTGTAAGTTGGCGGGCAATGAATTGCAGCGTTAGCCGAGGCCCGATCTGCCAGAGTGTGAGCGCGAACCAGCGTCGGCTGGGCGCCTGAGCAGAGTTTCGGTAACTAGTCTGATTCTAGCCAGCCAGCATTAATTTGTCCTGCATGGTTCGAAGAAATATATGTGTAGAATTTGTTACACGATGGTGCCCATGGCCACAATCAAGATGGCGTGCGCCGCCGGGTGCAGGCCCCCAGCAAATTGCGGAGCGGTTTTGCACGTCAGCGTTGATGAGATTCGGGCGACGGTGTCGGGTGTTCGGGCTGGGGGGAGGAATTTCATTTGTCGCGCGCGCTGCAGTTCTGGCCTAGGCGCGCTCGCTTTTCTTTTCTGCCCGCTGTGGCCAGGCTGCAGTGGTGGGCCCGCGTGACTTGCTGTCTCCCTGCCACCCCCCTTTCGAGGAAAGGTGAGGATAAGCTCGCGCGTATAAAGCGCTTCCAATTTCCAGGGCACGGCGGACCCGCGGCAGCGGCGCGCGAGGCGTCACTGTCGAGGGGCCGCCGCGAGTACGCCCTGTCCCACATGATCCCAGGCGTTGTTTGGTCAGAAGCCGCCCAGCCCCCACCAAGTGCCGCGCCGAATGCGGCCAGTCGCGTAGCTGGAGTTCCGAGCGTGGAAGACCGGCCGCAGGGCGCCCGCGGGTCTTTCTGGCAGGGCCTGGACGGCCAGTCCTCACACTCCTTGTCTTCGGATCTGTCCTAAGATTCTGGGTGGGGGCTGGAGCGGGGCGTGTGTCCACTCCCCCTGCTTGCACGATCGTGCGGCGCTGGGCGTGACTGTTGCGCAGGGGGGCCGCACGCGCTGCGTCTGCGGGAAGGGCCTCGCGCGGCGGGTTCGATCTGGGGTCCCTGCAGCCGTCCTTTTCCCTGCTGCGTGCTGCCCACCTCCCCCTGTTAGCACGGCCGCGGGGCCGGAGGTAATTCTCCCCCTGCGGTGGCCGCTGCTCAGGGAGCAGCCTGTTCCAATTCGGTTGCGGTTGTTGGGCTCGCGCGGAGGGGTCGATCTGGGGCCCCTTTGCAGCCGTCCTTGTCGCTGCTGCGGTTTGCCCCCCCCCCCCCCCCCCCCCCCCCCCCCCCCCCCCCCCCCCCCCCCCCCCCCCCCCCCTCCCCGCCCCTCCTCCCCCTGGTAGCACGGCCGCGGGGCGTTGGAGTTCATTCTCCCCCCGCGGCGACAGTTGTTCAGGGGGGCCGCCACTTTTCCAGAGAGCGTCGGGGCGCGGGCGAGGTCTGTCCAGTCCTCCCCGCCCGTGTCCCCCGTTCGCCTCCACCCGGCAGCGGCTTCTGTCTTGCGTAGCTGACGGTGGCCCTGTTTTGGCGGCTGGGCCGATCGTGGAATCGCGAGGGGAGGGTGGCCATAGCGGGCTCTCCGAAAAGGAGCGCGCGAAACCCCCTCCCCGAAGCGGCGCTCGCCGACGCGAGGTCGCCATGAGTTTTTTAAGTGGCGCGGGATCTTTGGTTCTCGTGCCGCTGGGCGTTTGGCGTGAGACTTCCAGAGCTTCTCACTCATCACGAGGTCCTGTTGGAAAATTGTCCTCCCCCCCCCTCCTCCCTCCTCCTCCTTCTCCTTCCCCCTCCTCCTTCTCCTCCTCCTCCTTCTCCTCCTCCATCTCCCCCTCCTCCTCCTCCCCCTCCTGCCCCTCCTCCCCCTCCTCCTCCTCCTCCTCCTGCTCCTCCTGCTCCTCCTCCTCCTCCTCCTCCTCCTCCTCCTCCTCCTCCTCCTCCTCCTCCTCCTCCTCCTCCTCCTCCTTCTCCTCCTCCCATGCCAGAAGCCGAAGCAGGGCGCAGGGAGGACGGCCCCTCCCCCGGTGATGTTAGGCGACGGCCGGGGAACGCCAAGTTTTCGGGAGCCTCGAGACGGGGGTCAATGCAAACGGGGGTCAGCCAGGGCACCGGATCCTGCAAGACCCTGCAGAGGCCAGGGGTGCATTGACCCGGGTTGGGTGCAGGGCTTTGCAGGATTTTGCAGGATCCTTCGCGTTGGCCCAGGTTTGGGTGCAGGGTCTTGCAGGATCTTGCAGGATTCTGCAAGGCCTGACTGGCCCGGGTTTGGATTGACCCGGGTCAGAAGATCCCAGGAGTTTGAAGTTTGTTGTTGTCGATGGCGACAGGCTGCCCAAAGTTCGGGTTAACCCAAAAGGGGGTCCAGCGACAAGGGGGTGGTGCAATAGATTTGGTGCAGTAGAACTGTGGGGTTGCATTACATTTGGGGCTTGCAAAATATTCCAGGGCGCAAATGACTTGCTGGCTTTTCGCGTGCAATGCATTCGTTGCAATACAATGCAATACACATTTCCGGCGCATTGCATGTGCAATACAATTGCCCCAAATCTATTGCACCACCCCCTTGTCGCTGGACCCCCTTTTGGGTCACCAAAAAAATCCCACGCGCCTTCCGCCGAAGATCGAGACAAGTAGTTTGGGGTTTAGAAGGTTTCGCCCTAGAGAGCAGCCTCGTGGCGACTTGGACGGAATCAGATCTGTGGCAAACCCCAGCAGGGCAGGTCGCTCAGCCGAGATGGAGACTGCGGGCTTTCGCACTTCCGGGCTCCGCCAGTGCGCCAGGGGGGGGAGACCCCCGCAAGTCAGGGAGATCAGTGTCACACTGATAATCAGGCGATCGCAAACATGGATCAAGGGGGCGTGGATCAGCGACGGTTCCCGTTTCCATCGGGAATCTAGGATTTCAGCCGCCGAGCGAGGTGGCCTTGGCCGCATTTTTGGGAGGACACCTCCCCCGATCCATGGATTTGGCGACCGCGCGCCAAATCCATGGATCGCTAATCCATGTTTGCGCGCCCCCGAGATAAGACATGAAAGGGGCACGTTTCGGTGCCAGCAGGCATGGATCAACGGCGAGCCTGGGGGGGAATGAGAAGGAAAAGGCCTTCCCAGAAGGCTCGGAAGTGCCCTGGCCTTCTGAGAAGTTCTCTCCATCCCTCTCTCTCTTGGACTCTTCTTCTCTCTCGCTGCCTCTCTGTGTCTTTTGCAGGTTAGCTACGGCGTCAAGCTCGTGCGTAAGATAGTGAACAACATAAAGATCGCCCTGTCGGACGTGAACTTCTCGTTCATTAACAGGAGTCTCTCCACCAGCGGGGCTCCTGCTGTGCAAGCGTATCGGAGTCATGCGCGGCCTCCTCCTTCCTCATCCTTCTTCCCCCCCCCAGTCCTTGGGCTTGTCCTCCTACTCCGCTGCCTCGCCCTTCTCTCTTTTTCTTCCTCTCTAGCCTGAATACTCACCCTCCTGTTTATCATCCCCACCTCCCCGCTGCTCTTCCTCCCACTCCTCCTCCTTCTCCTTCTCCTCCTCTTCCTCCTCTTCCCCCCTCCTCCTTCACATCCTTCTCCTCCTCCTCCTCCTCCTCCTCCTTCTCCTCATCCGCCTCGTCCTCCTTGTTCTTCTTATTATTATTCTTATCATTATTTTTTTTCTTCTTCGTCTTCTTCTTCTTCTTCCTCCTCCTCCTCCTCCTCTTCTCGGGGATGGCCCTGGCGCGAGGCCGCAAGCAGTGGCTGAGCTCGGCCACGCCATACACTCCATACAAGGAATGACCCACCTGGGTTCACCCAGGGACCTCCGTGCGTGGATGCCTCTGCCGCCTTCCGACCCCCCCACAGCCCAGACGCTGCAACGAGGAGCAGCGCTAGGGGCTCGGAGGGGGCTCGCTGCTCCCTGGGGTCCTTCCGTGGTCGTCCCTCCCTGCGCCCCTCGGCACCCGGGCGCCTTCGGGGGCCCAGGAGGAGCCCTGCTCCCCACCTAGCAGCGGCATGCTTGCAGCGTCGCCGGTGCACCGCCGCCTCGGTGCCGCGCCCCTTCGGGAGGCCTCCTGGGCCGGGCCTCGAGGACATTGCCGGCTCCCGTTCGCGCGCCCGCCTGGGCCCCCCTTCCCAGCCGGCGTCCGCGTCCTCCTCGTGCTTCCTCGTGCTTCTGCGCGCCCTTCTCTCCTCGTCCTCCTGCCTCCTGCTCCTGCTCCCCCGCCTCCTCCTCCCTCGCAGCTTCCCTCCCCTCCCTGCTGCTGCCGCCGCTGCCGCTGCTGCTCCTCCTGCCGCCGCCGCCGCTGCTGCTGCTGCTCCTCCTCCTCCTCCTTCGCCTTGTCCCCCTCCTCCCTCCCCACCTCTCCTCCCTCCTCCTCCTTCTCCTTGTCCCCCGTCCTCCCTCCTCCCCCTCCTCACTTCTCCTCGTCCCCCTCCTCCCTCCTCCTCCTCGTCCCTCCTCCTCCTCCTCCTCCTCCTCCTGCTCCTCCTCCTCCTCGTCCTCCTCCTCCTCCTCCTCCTCGTCCCTCCGTCCTCCTCCTCCTCCTCCTCCTCCTCCTCCGCCTCCCCTTTGTCCCCCTCCTTCTCGTCGTCCGCCTTTTCGCAGCCATTTTGGCACTTAGCAGGCCGCCTCGGCTGACGCAGCGCCCCCCGCAGCACGAGGCGCCGCCGGCCCCCCCCCTGCCCGCCGTGCCGAGCTTCCCGGGCTTCCCGTGGCAGAGCCGTGATGCTTCTCCGCCTGACACCTCTGCTTCTGCTTATTCTTTTCCTGCCCTCCTCCCTCGTTCTCCCTCCTCCCTCATCTCCCTCCTCCCTCCTCCCTCCTCTCTCCTCTCTCCTCCTCCTCCTCCTCCTCCTCCTCCTCCTCCTCCTCCTCCTCCTCCTCCTCCTCCTCCTCCTCCTCCTCCTCCTCCTCCTCCTCCTCCTCCTCCTCCTCCCTCATCTCCTCCTCCCTCCTCCTCCCTCCCCCTCCACCCTCCCTCCTCCTCCTCCTCCTCCTCCTCCTCCTCCTCCTCCTCCTCCTCTCTTCTTCCTCCTCCTCCTCATCCTCCTTTTTCTCCTCCTTCTCCTCCTCCTCCCCCTTCGCCTCACACCAGCGCTCGTGCCGATTCCTTCGATTCGATTCGATTCGATTTCGATGGCTTCCGATTCCGATTCGATTTGGCTTCGAGTTCCGATCAGGGTTCCGATTTTCTTCAAATCGGCTTGCCCTATGGGAGGCCTAGCTCAAACCCTACTAATCGGACCGTTGCCCCCCTAATTCCGATGCCCCCCCTGGTTCCTATGGCAATGCCTATGCCTACCTACGCCTATGCCTATGCCTGCTTGCTTGCGTGCTCGCTTGCGTGCTTGCTTTCTTGCGCGCTTGCTTGCACGCTTGCTTGCTTCTGAGTTGCGGACTCCAAGCATGCTTGATTCCTCTGACTCCGTGATTTGAGTCGTCTAATCTATTTGGAGTCAGCGTTGGCTGATATCTCAATGGAGGCCTGTGAACTTGCCGACTTCCGCTGGTTCGACTTCTCCCAGCTTGGCTGCCGATTTCCACCGATTCGATTCATGTCGATCGCCGATCCGACTTATCGATTCGATTCTGGGCTCTCCTGCCTCATACCTCCTTTTCTGCTTCTTATCCGTAAGGGCTTCGCCCCCTGCCGCCAGCCCCCTCTCTCGGAGAATGGGCCATGGAAGAGCGAAGGCATGAGGCTTTGGCTTCGCCGTGAAGCTGCGTCGGGACCTGTTTGTTTTTTCGACCCTGACCCTGCGGATCTGAGTGAGGGGTGCCGCCGAATGTCAGAAATGCGGCAAATCCTTTCCGTGTTTTTTTGACCCTGACCCTGCCGATCTGTGTGAGGGGTGCCACCGAATTTCAGAAATGTGGCACATCCTTTGTGTTTTTGGACCCTGACCCTGCCGATCTGCGTGAGGGGTGCCGCTGAGTTTCAGAAATGTGGCAAATCCTGTCTGTGTTTTGTTGGCCCTGACCTCGCCGATCTACGTGAGGGGTGCCACCGAATTGCAGACATGTGACAAATCCTTTATGTTTTTGGACCCTGACCCCGCCGATCTGCGTGAGGGGTGCCGCCGAATTTCAGAAATGTGGCAAATCCTTTGTGCTTTTGCACCCTGACCTCGCCGATCTACGTGAGGGGTGCCACCGAATTTCAGAAATGTGGCAAATCCCTTTTGTTCCCAACCATCCTGTGGTGTTGGGTCCTCGTTTTGAAGAGACGGTGCCCCGCGTCTCCTTCCTCCTCCTCTCCTCCTCCGCCTCCTCTCCCCTCCTATCATCCTCATCGTCATCATCATCATCATCATCATCGTCATCATCATCATTATCATCATCATTATCATCATCATCATCGTCATCAGCATCAACATCATGGCCGCCATCATAACCATCATCGTCATCATCACCATCATCGTCGTCATCACCATCATCGTTGTCCTCGTCGCCATCATCGCACGTTTCGTGGCCCCATACGGAGCTCCACCGAAGGTCCCAGTGGGTGTGCCCGCATGCGTCCCGCACGCCCATTTTGGCACACCCCTCACACGTTTCGTGGCCCCATAGGGAGCTCCATTTACGGTCCAAGTGGCGCAGCTCGCATGGCGCCACCGCCCCATTTTGGCACACCCCTCACACGTTTCGTGGCCCCTCAGGGAGCTCCACCTGAGGTCCAAGTGGCGCAGCTCGCATGGCGCCACCGCCCCATTTTGGCACACCCCTCACAGATTTCGTGGCCCCTCAGGGAGCTCCTTTTGGCACACCCCTCACACGTTTCGTGGCCCCATAGGGAGCTCCACCTAAGGTCCACGTGGCGCAGCTCGCATGGCGCCACCGTCCCTTTTTGGCACACCCCTCACACGTTTCGTGGCCCCATAGGGAGCTCCATTTACGGTCCAAGTGGCGCAGCTCGCATGGCGCCACCGCCCCATTTTGGCACACCCCTTACAGATTTCGTGGCCCCTCAGGGAGCTCCACCTGAGGTCCAAGTGGCGCAGCTCGCATGGCGCCACCGCCCTTTTTTGGCACACCCCTCACACGTTTCGTGGCCCCTCAGGGAGCTGCAGTTAAGGTCCCAGTGGTGCAGTTCGCATGGCACCCCTTCGCACGTTTCGTGGCCCCACAGGGAGCTCCATCTCAGGTCCAAGTGGCGCACCCCACATGGCGCCGCATCCGGGAGGAGAGTGGTGATGATCGCCGGTCCGGGAGGAGAGGTTCCAGAACGGCCACATGATCGGTCGCGCATCTCAGGTCCAAGTGGCGATGATCACCGGCTCCGGGAGGAGAGGTTCCAGAACGGCCACATGATCGGGTCCTACTGGGACACCGTGGCGCGGTGGATGAACATGCGTGCTCAGCGGGACGCGGACGTCCTGAAGAAGCCCCTCTTCCTCGTGCAGGCCGCCGACAGGTCTGCGCCGACGATGAGCGTCAAGGACGCCGCCAAGATGATGAACTGTGCCAACCCGAAGAACACCGGTGGCATGCACGGGCTGCTCCCGGTGCGCGTGGGCATGCGGATCCGGCTCCTGGAAGCGCTCGACCTCAAGAACGGCCTCGTCAAGGATGCCGAGGGGCAGATCGTGCACATCGTCGTGGACCCTCGAGATCGGCACGACGTCGAGAGAGGCGAGAGAGAGGGGGAGAAGAGGATCTACCTGAAGCGCTTGCCGCTGGGGTTCTGGGTGCGCATGGAGAAGTACGCGAGCGCGCCCTTCGTGGACGACCTCAAGCGCCGCGACGACAGCCTCACGGGGGACCTCGCGGGCCCGCTGGTGTTCATCGAGCCCCGCACGTCGGAGCCGTTCACCTTCCGCACCTCCAAGGTCACGCGGACGGGCTTCCCGTTCTCGCACGGCAGGGTCATCACCACGGTGGCGTGCCAGGGGCGCACCATGCGCGAAGGCGACGGGGCGGGGGAACGGCGCTCCGGGGACGGCCAGACCTCCGGGGCGCGAGCAGTCCGCGGCCAGACCTCGGTCCTGTGGGCTCTCGCCCTGGGCCGTCGGCTGCCCGGCGCACTGCTCCCTCGGCCGAGTCGCCCAGGTGTGATCCTGGACTGCGGCCGCCACGAGGTCGGGAACGGCGAGAAGGAGGACGACGACTGGTGGCTGGAGCTCTATGTGCTGCTCTCGCGCGCCACGCGCCACGAGGGCCTCCTGCTCATGCGGGCGCCGCGCATCGAGTTCTTCCTGGCAGGACCGCCGGAGGGCCCGCGAAAGCAGCTGGAGCAGTTTGCAGCGCGCACGAAGCGGTGCAGGAGGGAGGCGACGGCCCTCGCCAGGGAGCTCGGCTTCACAGAGTTTATCCGCGAGGCCTGACCTGAGGAGCGCCCCCCCCGAGCCGCGCCTTCTCTCGACTGCCCGCATAATTGTTCGGCCTCGCGCCGCGGACGACCCGCGCGCGTCGCTGGGACCCTCTCGGGGCGACCAGCGCGCGTCGCGGGGATTCCGCGCGGCGCTCTGCTCAGCGCCTCGCTCGCCCGTCGTCGCTCTGCCCAGCGGCCGGAGCCTTGCCCGCAATCAGCCGGCCGGCTAGCTCTCTGTGCTCCGCGCAGCGGACGACCTGCGCGCGTCGCTGGGACCCCTCCGCGGCGACCTGCGCGCGTCGCGGGGACTCCGCGCTGCTCTGCGCCCGCAGCTTTGGATTTTTGGAGCGCGCAGGCAAAGAGAGGGGAAAAGAAGGGGCGGAAGCGGGTGCGATCCCCGTGAGGGGCGTGCCGACATGGGCGTCGCGGCGCGCGGGCGCTGCCGTCGGGGCCCCCGCGGAAGCTGCCTGCGGCGGCCGCGCCCAGTGTCACGAGTGTTCGGACAGGCGTGCTCGAACCATTCACATTCATATACATTTACACTAGGCGTAGCCAAAATCGCATTCATGCAAATATACTCACTCCCACGCAGACCCATTCACACTCAGACTCTCTCGCGCTTTGGCTCACCCGCGTTCATTCTTTCGTATTCTGACCTATCGTATTCCTTTGCGTTGTGTGCCCCGCCATATTTCGGCATACCCCTCATGCGGTTCGTGGCCCCATAGGGGGCGCCACCGAAGAAGGTACTCACAATTGCGGCACTCACAACTGCATATGGTTGGGTCTTTCGCCAGGATAATTTTTGGACTCTGACCCCGCCGATCTGCGTGAGGCGTGTCAATTTTTACCCACCCCAGCAATTCAGACAATACGATTTGGGCGTGGTAGAAATGCCCGTTTTGGGCCTCCCCCCTTCGCACGGTCCATCAACAAGGAACAGTAAGCAACAAAACGTCATCAAGGAACAGTAAGCAGCAATCAACATAACTGTAACCGTGGAAACTGGAAGCTGCAACTGGTACAGGAAACTGCGAGCCTCTGGCCTGCAGCCTTGAGGCCCCGCAAGAGGGCCGGCGGATTTTCCTGCCCTCCTCCCTCCTTCTCCCTTTTCCCTCTTCCTCCCTCCTCCTCCTCCTCCTCCTCCTCCAGCTTCACGAACACGCTTTCGAGTGGAAATGGAATTGAGTGGTGAAAGCGAGCATATCCTCCTCATCCTCATCATCATCATCATCCTCGTCATCGTCATCGTCATCATCATCCTCATCATCCTCGTTATCCTCCTCCTCATCCAACCCTTTTCTGTATAGATAACTTCACCTTGTCGCCCACCCAGACGTGTAGGTAGGATGTGCCAGGCGTGTCGCTTGAGGCTTCCCACTATTTCAGAGTCCTATTTGCATCATGTTTACGGATGCAGGGCATCCTCGACACAATGAAACAGTTTCACGTATGGAGGGTGGTTCTTTGTCAAGATGCTGTTCTCGCCGGAGCGCCGCGCAGATGAGTCTTACAGCTTCATGGCGCCAACATCGCAGAGCGGATTTCTTTCGGACAACGATCGGGTGGGCCCGGAGTGTCCTGGATAATTGCGTTCCGGATTCCGAGGTGAATTTCGTGCGGATTTCTTTTGGCCAGGAATGAAGTCTAAACAGCATCCACGCGAATTTCTTTTCGTTTTTTTGTTCGTCGTTTCGGGCAAACGTCCACGCAGAAATCCACGCAGAAATCCGCTGCAGCGCGTCTGCAAGTCCAGTGCAATGCACAGCTTTGCAGCAGCTTTCAACATGTTGTTTTCGCTCTAGCGTCGCGCACATTCGCTTTTTCTTTTTGCAGCAGTTTCTGGGCTGGACGGCCTGGTCAGGGTTTCGAAGACGTCTACGGCGAACCACCGCCGCCCCCTGTCTTTTTGGAAGAGCCTATGTGTCCGAACGCTGTGACTAGAGCTTGGCTTGGCTACCGGCCTGTGTGTTCCCAGAGTTGGTTTGGAAAACCTTCGGGGAACACGTAGAGGAGGAAGACGAGGACGAGGAGATGGGAGGGTAAAGGAAGACGAGAATGAGGAGGAAGAAGAGGAGGGGGAGGAGGAAACGACCTTTGGGGAGCTTGTTGGGTCATTCTTGGCGCCTCCTGGGAGCTTCAGGAGACTCTCTTGTAGGCCTTTTGGGGGACCCTGTGGGGGCTCCCAGAGACCTCTGCGGGCACCTTGGGGGCCTCTCGCCTGTCAGACGCCGTCGGAGGCCGTTTGGGGGCCGTCGGAAGACCGAAAAGAAGGACCCCCCAAAATCTTCAAAACCCTGCTCAAAGTCAACTAGAACCACTCGCTCGCTTCGCGCGCGCTTAGGTTCTAGTCGATTCCGAAGACGGTGTCTATTTCCATGAGACCTTTCCCATGTGGTCTTCCGTGTTCCTCCCTTTCACCCATGCGTGATTTTCGGGCGGATGCGGCGAAGTTCAAGGAAGAGTTTGGCCTGTAGCGTACCAGCGACGACCGACCACGACGACGACGGACCACCGACGATCAGCATCATTGTCACCTGGTCCACGTGTGCGGGAGAGGCGTTTCCGGAGCGTCTTGCAGGCGTCATGGGGGCGTCTTCGGGCCTCGACATTGGGTGGGCGGGTCGGGGGGTGCAGCCAGGGCCACGGGTTCCGAAGGGCTGTTCCGGAGCATGGAGGACGAAGGGCTTCTGGCGGGCTTTGAGGGTCTGTGCAGGAGGCCTCCTGCGAGCTCGCTGGGGGTTTCTCGGGAGTTTCTCGGGTCTTTTTGGAGCCCTTTTGGGGGCTTCCTGGGGTGTCGTGGAGGCCTCCCGGGAGTCTCTTGGGGCCTCCTGGGTGCTTTTTGGGGCAGAGGGCGGCCTCTGTTCGGGCATTTTGGGGGGGCTCTCTGGAGCCTCCTGGGAATATTGTTGGCCAGCTTGGGAACTTCTGGGGGGGTCCGTGGCCCCTTCTGAACCTTCTTGGAGCCCCCAAGGCCCCCCCGGCCCCCCATGCGAACCATGAGAAGGCGAAAACCCACCCCCACCCCCAGTCCCGACCCCATTTCCGAACCCTCGATCCAGGGGGTCGGGACTGGGGGTGGGGGTGGGTTTTCGGGGTCCAGGAATAGGGAAAACCCACCCCCACCCCCAGTCCCGACCCCCCAGATCGCGGGCTCGGGGGTGGGCGTCGGGACTGGGGGTGGGGGTGGGTTTTCGCCTTATCAAACCAGAGGTCTCAGTTCTGGGCCCATCCCGCCACCGTGTCTGGGTTGTAGGTCAGAGGCTTCTCGGATGTTCGCTGGGATGATATCGTGGGATGCCTCTCGGGGTGCCTTCTGGAAGCAGGTCTGAAGTCTCCACGGGGGCGTCGCGGAGCTTGTCGGACCTCTCTTAGGCATCTTCGGGGCCTTCTTGGAGCCTCTTGGAGCCACTTAGGGGCCTCTTGGGGCCTCCTGGGGGCCGCTGGGGGCGGGAAGCTCGAAAGGTCGGCGGTTCGCGTTCCCTCTCTTGGGCCCATTTTCGAGCCGTCTTCAGGCCCTCTTCAGGCCCTCTTGGGCCGTCTTGGGGGTCTCTTGGGCCGATCATGCGGCCCTCTTGGGCCGTCTTGGGGGCCTCTTGGGGCGAGTTTGGTAGGCTTCTTGGACAGTCTTGGAGTGTCGGCCGCTCGAAAACGTAAGAAAGCAAGCAATATTGGAAAACAGCATGAAAATCCATTATTTAGGCGTCTTGGGGCTCTCTTGGAGGTGCTCGCGGAGCGACCTTGGGGCCTCTCGGGTGCCTCTTGGGCCGATCATGGGGCCTTCTTGGGCGGCTCGGAGCGCTCTTGGGCCGTCTTGGCGGCTTCTTGCCGTCTCCAGAAGCCGAGGTGGACGCCTCGGGGAGGCGGAAAAAGTTTCGCGACTCCGAAAACGGCCCTTGGATGCCAAAAATGGCCCCCGCAGCCCATGGGGCAAATTCGGTTACGGGGCGGAGGGGGGCGGGAGGAGTTTGGAAACAATGTCCGGCACTGGGCCGCGGGGCCCCGGACGCCGCTTATATCATGTATGATTTCGGCCTCGGCGGGCCTTCCTGGAGGTCATCCTAGAGGCCTCTTGGGCTGTCTTGGAGGCCTCTTGAGGCGTCTGTGGGGCCATCTTGAGGCCATCTAGGGCCGTCTTGGATGCATCTGGGGCCGTTTTGGAGACATCTTGGGACCATCTTGGGCTCTCTGGGGGCCATCTTGGTCGCCCTGGAGGCCATCTAAGGTGTCTTGGAGGCCTCTTGGACCGTCCAGGGGCCCTCTTGGGGCCGTCTCGGGGGCATCTCGGGCCGTGATGGGACCATCTCGGAGGCCTCTTGGGCGATCTTGAATGATGATGCTGATGCTGATGCTGATGCTGATGCTGATGATGATGATGATGATGATGATGATGATGATGATGATGATGATGCTGATGACGATGATGATGATGATGCTGATGATGATGCTGATGATGATGCTGATGAATGTGATTATGATGATGATGCTGATGATGATGGTGGTGGTGGTGGTGTTGGTAGTGGTGGTGGTGATGATGATGATGCTGCTGATAATGATGATGTTGATGATGATGCTGATGCTGATGCTGCTGCTGATGATGCTGATGCTGATGCTGATGCTGATGCGGATCCTGATGCTGATGATGATGATGATGATGATGATGCTGATGATGGTGATGATGATGATGATGATGGTGATGATGATGATGCTGCTGCTGCTGCTGATGATGATGATGATGATGATGATTATTATGATGATGCTGATGCTGATCATGATGGTGGTGGTGGTGGTGGTTGTGGTGGTAGTGGTGGTGGTGATGATGAGGATGAGGAGGAGGATGAGGAGTTGGAGGAGGATGAAGAGGAGGAGGAGGAGGAGGAGGAGGAGGAGGAGGAGGAGGAGGAGGAGGAGGAGGAGGAGGAGGAGCGCGCACTGTCGCAGGAATCACGCAGACGCAGCGTGCGCACTCTCGCGGCGAATCAGAATTTCTGCTTTCCAGACAGGGCTGGCCGCAGGCAGCCCCGAGGCCTCAAATTGTCTGCCCCTGCGGCTTCGAGTTGTCAGCCCGCGGGGTCCTGACCAGACAGTCAGGGATTTTCCGCCCTCCGTCGGTCAGGCTGCTTTGGTCTGCCTTGCTCGGATCCCCCCCCTCGCCGACTTGTCAGCCCTTGCCGCCCCTTCCCCGGCCTCCAGACAATCTGGGATTGTCCGCACTCCAGTTGCTTGTCCCGCCCACCCGCTACTGCGGGGGCACGAAGGCCATCGAAACTGTTCTTGTTTGATCGGCTGCCCCCGTTATTTGTTCAATCGCGTCCTCCCATTAGACGCCATCCATTGTGGGCGCTCGGCTGCTTCATCTGCAACCTGCTGTGGACCGATCACTTTGATGTTGCGGTGTATGTTCCAGCGCAGCGGCTTGCCGAGACGAGCAGCGGTTGAGTCTAGCCCCACTCCTCGGTCCGCTCCGCCTCCATGTTCCTTCGGCGTGGTGGTGGTGGGCCCTTTTAGGCACCTGGCCACCAGGGCGTCGGCATGTCTCTGTGGTTTTGCGTGTCTGGGAGGCCGCTTCTTTCTGTCACCAGTCGTGGTGCCCGAGGCATAGAGGCGAAGGTATGGAGGAGCATGGGGTGACGTTTCAGGGAGCGTCAACCTCGCGCGTGCACGTTCGATCGTTCAGCTTTGGCTATGCCTTGTCGCGCTCGACTTCTTTTGAAGATCATGTGGTTGTGATTGGGAGAGGAGCGGGACATTATGGAGGAGGCGGGGGAGTTTACTACTTACTTGACCCTCGATGGGGGAAGCCCTCCAGACCCTCGGTGCGGGCAGTCTGCCATTTCCGCGCGCTCGCCTCCTGCTGTGCCGGAGGTGCAGATGTCGTGGTGTGTATGTATGGGGGCCGATGTTTTGGGGTATGTTTGTTTTTTTGTTGTTTTCATTTTTTGGGGGGGGAGCTCGACCCTCAGGGCGGGCACGATCACGGGCATCTTTCCGCAAGCTTGGCTGGCTGTGACGCACTGGCGCTGCGCAAGACACGGCCCCCGGGGGTTTCGTTACATTGGCCCTCAGTTTCGACGAACGTTCAAAAGTGGAGGCAGTGGATGATGTGGACATAGGGTGTTGATGCGGGAAGGTGGGTGGGGTCATTGACATTGTGTTCACTCTTGATGTTTGCTCCACTTATCCAGCTTCTCTCGCCTGTTCCACGTTTTTTTCCCAGCACTAATGCCGCATTTCATTCTTTTACTTAAGAGGCTTACGCCATTCCGCCGACCCTCAGAAGAGGCGTGGAGTCCACGGTTGAGGCGTCGTGGGCTTCTTGGGCACTATGTGGGGATTTTCGTGGGCGTCTTGGGAGCTGTTTGGGGGCCTGGCAGAGCCTCTTGGAGGCAGTTTCGAAGCGTGTTGGGGGCCACTCTGGGGCACCTTTGGGGCCGCTTGGGGGGCTCTTGGGTGCTTATTTGGGGCCTCTTTTGGTCCGCTTGGGGGCTTCTCGGGGCCTTCGGGGGGGCCTCTTGCGGCGGAAAGATAGTTTTTTCGGTTCGTGCTCTCCCTCTTGGCCTCTCATGGAGCCCTCTTGAGGCGATCCTTGGCTGTCTTGGGCCTCTCGAGGAGCCGTCTTGGAACCCTCGTGGGCCCTCGTAGGGAGCCTCTAGGACCGTTTTGGGTCGGTCTACGGGGTCTCTGGGAGCGCCGGGAGCTCCAAGGAACCCCACCCGCGCGGACCTCCGACATTTTCTCTTGATACTTCCTTTTCTTCTTCTGTCCTCCCCCTCCCTCCTCGAGGTGCGTTCCTCGCCCCCCACCAAACCACCCCAACGCAACCCGAAGGCTTCATTTTGCCCTCCATTTCCAGTGTGGGGGGGTCGGGGAACATTGTAAAAGGAACCCGTACCCCCCCCAAACCCGACCTTCGGATCAAATTCGGGTCTTTGGGTTGGGCTGGAGTGGTCTGGTAGGTAGTGTAGTCCGTTCCTCACCCCCCGCCCGGCCCCATCCCTGTCCAGAGAGCATGGCGCGCCACCTGCCGGCGTGCTTCTTGTGCAGACGCAGGGTAGGCAGAGGGCAGGGCCGTGCTGAGGCGCATTGTAAGCCCCCTCTCATGTTACGACTGCATGCTTTTCATGCCGACCTCCTGCCGATCTCCTCGAGGTGCGTTCCTCGCCCCCCGCCCTGCCCCACCCCCTGCCCAGGGAGCATGGCGCGCCACCTGCTGCTCGCGGCGGCCCTCGGCGCCTGCCGGGCCGACGAGACGGAGTGGAAGCCAGACTGGCGCGCTCTCGTCGTCGTCCTCGCCGCTGTCGTCGGCCGCAGGGGCCCCTGGGGGTCTTCGCGGGCCCCAGAGATCCAACGCATTGAAAAAATCAAGACGGAGGTGTTTCGCAGGTTTTGGCCTCTAGGGGCCCCCGCCGGGCCCAGGGACCGTCAAACAACGACTCAGGACGAAGAACCGGTCCCGGGGAAAGGGTCGGGACTTCCGGGGACCCCGTATGGAAGAAATCAAGACATCTGATCCCCAGGCATCCGACGTTTTGATTTCTCCGAGACACGGGGTCCCGACATCCCGACCACTTCCCCAGGGCCGGTTTTTCGCCCCGAGCTGTTTTTTGACGGCCCCGAGGCCCGGCGAGGGCCCCGAGAGGCCGCGAACGAGGAAGAACCTCCGTCTCGATTTTTTCGAGACGCCCGACGTCTGGAGAGATTTCGGTGGGCGCCTTCGGTCCTCCTTTGGCACGTCCTCGTCGGCTCCTCGAGGCCGTGCTGCCTCGGGAGGCCCTCCAGCAGCCGCGATCCACCCTAGGGTGCTATATAGGATCGCCCCGAACGGCCGCCGGGGGCCCGGGCCACGGCCCGGGAACCACCGGGGACGGGCATCCGACGTGCCAGAGATCCAACGACTTGAAAAATCAAGACAGAGGTGTTCGCGGTTTTTGGCCTCTCGGGGCCCTCGCCGGGCCTCGGGACCGTCGAAAAAGGTTTCAGGACGAGAAAACTGTTCCCGGGGAAAGGGTCGGGACTTCCAGGGACCCCGCATTGAAATGATCCTGGCGAAGGGCCCAACCATCAGCAGTTGTTCGTAACGCGTTGTGGGTGCCGCTTTTGGTGGGGCTCCCCATGGGGCCACGAAACGCTGCCCAGGGTGGGGGAAACGCATGCGTCAGCAGCCACTGGGGCCTTCGGTGGAGCTCCCTATGGGGCCACGAAGCGCTGCCCTGGGCTGGGGAAGCGCATGCGAGAGCAGCCACTGGGGCCTTCGGTGGAGCTCCCTATGGGGCCACGAAGCGCTGCCCTGGGTGGGGGGAACCGCATGCGAACTGCGCCACGGGGGCCTTCGGTGGAGCTTCCTATGGGGCCACGAAACGCTGCCCTGGGTGGGGGAACCGCATGCGAGAGCAGCCACTGGGGCCTTCGGTGGAGCTCCCTGTGGGGCCACGAAGCGCTGCCCCGCGTGGGGCCTTCGGTGGAGCTCCCTATGGGGCCACGAAGCGCTGCCCTGGGTGGGGGAACCGCATGCGAGAGCAACCACTGGGCCTTCGGTGGAGCTCCCTATGGGGCCACGAAGCGCTGCCCAGGGTGGGGGAAACGCATGCAAGAGCAACCACTGGGGCCTTCGGTGGAGCTCCCTATGGTGCCGCGAAGCGCTGCCCAGGGTGAGGGAAACGCATGCGAGAGCAACCACTGGGGCCTTCGGTGGAACTCCCTGTGGGGCCACTGAAGCGCTGCCCAGGGTGGGGGAAACGCATGCGAGAGCAACCACTGGGGCCTTCGGTGGAGCTCCCGATGGGGCCACGAAACGCTGCCCAGGGTGGGGGAAACGCATGCGAACTGCGCCACGGGGGCCTTCGGTGGGGCTCCCTATGGGGCCACGAAGCGCTGCCCAGGGTGGGGGAACCGCATGCGAGAGCAACCACTGGGGCCTTCGGTGGAGCTCCCTATGGGGCCACGAAACGCTGCCCTGGGTTGGGGAAACGCATGCGATAGCAACCACTGGGGCCTTCGGTGGAGCTCCCTATGGGGCTACGAAACGCTGCGGGACACGAAACGCTGCCCAGCGTGGGGGAAACGCATGCGAGAGCAACCACTGGGGCCTTCGGTGGAGCTCCCTATGGGGCTACGAAACGCTGCCCAGTGCGGGAAACGCATGCGAGAGCAACCACTGGGGCCTTCGGTGGAGCTCCCTATGGGGACACGAAGCGCTGCCCAGGGTGGGGGAAACGCATGCGAGAGCAACCACTGGGGCCTTCGGTGGAGCTCCCTATGGGGCCACGAAACGCTGCCCTGGGTGGGGGAAACGCATGCATGCGAGAGCAACCGCTGGGGCCTTCGGTGGAGCTCCCTATGGGGCCACGAAGCGCTGCCCAGGGTGGGGGAAACGCATGCGAGAGCAACCACTGGGGCCTTCGGTGGGGCTCCCTATGGGGCCACGAAGCGCTGCCCAGGGTGGGGGAACCGCATGCGAACGCCCCCACTGGGGCCTTCGGTGGAGCTCCCTATGGGGCTACGAAACGTGTGAGAGGTGTGCCGAGTGCAGAGGCAAGGAGGGGGAGGAGGGAGGAATAAGGAAGGAGGAGGAAGGAGGAGGAAGGTGGGACGCGTGGCGCTGTCTCTTCAAAACGAGAACCCAACATCGCAGGATGGCTGGGAAAAATCACGTCATCGGATCTCTGGGGGTTCGATTTTTCCGAGACGCGGGCCCCCGACCTCCCGACCACTTCCCCAGGACCGGTTTTTCATCCCGAGTCGTTCTGTTGAAGGTCCCGAGGCCCGGCGAGGGCCCCGAGAGGCCGCAAACGAGGAAAAACCTCTGTCTCGATTTTTTCGAGACGCCCGATGTCTGGGGACGGGTACGACCGATCTGATTCGATATCGATTTTGGCCAGCCCGATCCGGTTCGGTTCTGATGTTTCGTCTCGGTCCAATGCGGCCCGATGCCTGCACGGCGGTGCTGCGTCGCTGTGCATCCTGGCGCGGCCGATTCGGGTCGGTTCCGACTTCGTGCCGAAGCAGCCCTATCAGTTGTTCGTTCCTATCAGATCTGATGTTTGATTCAATGCTGACTGATCCTGCGTCGTTGTCGTCGTCTTCATCGTCGTCGTCGTCGTCGTCGTCGTCCCTGGCATGGAAGTTTGTGCTTCAGCAGCACGCGCTCGGTGTGGAGGGAGGATGGAGGGAGGGAGGAGGGAGGCAGAGGGAGGGAGGTGGAGGTGGGGTGGGAGGCGGAGGGAGGAGGATGTAGGATGAGGGATGGATGAGGGACAGGGATGGAAGGTGTGAGGAGGGAGGAGAAAGTACTCACGAGGGTGAGGGGGAAGAGGATGAGGATGCGGATGAGGAGGAGGGTGATGATGAGGAGGAGGAAGAGGAGGCTGCTACTGCTGCCGCTGCTGCTGCTGATGATGATGATGATGGTGATGGTGATGATGACGATGATGATGATGATGCTGCTGATGATGATGATGATGATGATGGTGGTCGTGGTGATGATGATGATGATGGTTGGTGATCATTATGGTGGCATGGTGCTGATGAAGATGATTATGATGATTATGATGATGATGCTGATGGTGATATTGATGGTGATGGTGATGGTGATGGTGATGGTGATGAAGCTGATGACGCTGATGATGATGCTGATGATGATGATTATGATGGTGATGATAATGCTGCTGATACTGATGATGCTGACGATGATGATGATGATGATGATGATGATGATGATGATGATGATGATGATGATGATGATGATGATGATGATGATGATGATGATGATGATGATGATGATGATGATGATGATGATGATGATGATGATGATGATGATGATGATGATGATGATGATGCTGATGCTGATGATGATGATGATGATGATGATGATGATGATGATGATGATGATGATGATGATGATGATGATGGTGATGGTTATGGTGATGATGACGGTGGTCTTCCGGTCCAGCGGGACCTGAGTTCTGGCGCAGATCGGCAGTGCAATGGCGCCGATGTGCAATGGCGCCGACGCTGCAAATGCTGGCTTCGAAGAGGCGCAGTCGCCGGCGGGGGGCGTCGGAAACGCGGGCGGGGGCGCTCGATGTCCAGCGTCGGCGCGTTCAACCGCGCCAGGGCCGTCGAGGGGGAGGCGCGCCTGGTTGAGCTTCGCGAGGCGGCTGGACACGCCGCGGCGATCGTCGTGTTAACGCGCCGTATCGGGGGCGCCGTTTCGCGGCGATCTCAGCCAGCGGGCCGGCGCGCAGAGGTTGCCGCTGCCGGCGTTGCGGGCGAGATCGCGAGCCGAGCGCGTTCAGTCTCGCATGGCGCATTCGCGGATGCAGGCGCTGTCGAGCCCTCTGTCGGAGTTGGGGCCTTGTCTGCTCCAGCGCCGCGCGCGCCGCCTCGGGCCCGCCGCGGGCCGCGCCGAAGGGGGTCGCTGAGGGGTCGACGTTGTCAATGGCCGCGCTGAGGCGCCGCAGATGTAGACGTCGCCGAGGGCAGACAGCTCGGGGCCAACAATCGAGGCTGCGCCGACTTCCGCCGAACCGCCGCCGCCCGTTCAGCCTGGCGGGGCATCGGGAGGCGGCGGCAAACGGGGCCGCTCGTTGAACGAGATCCGAGGATTCCAAGGCGCGCTCGCGCAGCTGGCCGCCCCGCGGTGGCGGCGCGATCAGCGGCCAGGGCTTGCCGGGCAGGTCCGTCGACGGCGGGCGGGGGCCGCCTCCGATGGCGGGCGCGGTGAGTCTACCCGCGCGGCCTCCGCCCCCGGCGACGTCGGCCAGACTTCGTGCTGGGGCCCTCGTCTACATGCGCCGGCGCCCACGGCTCTGCGCGGGGGCGGTTGGCGCCGAGGGCGACGAGCAGTGCGACCCCATCTTCGTCGTTGCCCCTTCCGACTACCAGTGGCTCGCCCAAATTGTTCTCGCGCGTTGGCGGAGTTGCGCGGGCGCGACCTCGCTGGCCCCGCGGGCCAGTTATCTCACAGGAGGATTGGCGAGGGCGACCAGTGCTGCTTCCAGTTCCGCCGCGGCGTCGCTTGCAAGCTGGTGCCATTGCTCTTGGAGGGCGCGTCCGCTTGGTGGGGCGACCTTTCGGGTTGCGGACTTTCTGCGCACGTCTCGTGGATTGCTCGGGTTTGCCACTTGCTGTCAAAGTTGCCCAGGGGCTTCTCGGCGCCCGTGCAGCTGGGCAGCTAGGCGCGGCGGTAGCTGAGACGCGGCGCTCTTGCCATGACCCGTCACTGGAGCGTGTTACGCAGGTTTTCATCCAAGCTCATACCAGAATACAAGAAAGCGGATTGCTCGTTATGTCTGGGGCGACGATTGGTGTGGCATGGGTCGGCGGCCCACTTCCGTCCTGAATCGAAGCTGTCTTTGAGGAGTCTCGGGGCAAACGGGGTGACCTTATGATTGGCGCTGCCGCCGTGCGGCGCGCCGCAGGAGAGTTAGCGGAGTCTGTTGCCTGGCAAGTTTTTCATTGCGAGCAGTATGGCGCGCCCGAAGTGAGAGCTCCGCGCCCGGCCCCAAGCACCTGCTGGTATAGGGCGCAGGTGAAGGTCGAAGTCTCTCGCGCTCGCCGGGGTATCGACGACCGCGCGTACTCGTTCCCGACTGGAGGCGTGCTCCGCCGTTCCAACCATCGCAGGGGGACGCCGTGCTGGCGCGTGGCTGCGGGCACTTGACTTCAGGTTGTGGGTTGAAGAAGGCCAGTGGATTGCAGACCCGAGCTCGGGTGCCGAGTAACTCCGCGTGCGTCAGTTTGACGTTTCCTTCCCGCGTTACCTTCGTAGCTCAGACGGCACGTTCTGGAAGGCGATGGGCCGCTTCGAGGACATCGTGGACAAAAGCGTCACACCCATGAGCGGGGCGACCGTGGTGCGGGCTCAATCGCGGAGAGCACGATCCGGCTTGCGCGTCAAACATCTTGTGCGATGCAGCCGATGAGATGAAGTGTTAGCCCGCTCTTCATTCCGTTAACACCCCAGAGTAGATGCGCAACCGGGGTGGTTGCCACGCGTGTCAGGTCGGTTGGGCGCCATCATTGCCGTTGGGGGATTTCTTTCTTCTTCCCTCTTTCTCTCCCGTTGCACGCTACTGCTACTTTGCGCAACCTCGCACTTTGTGGCACATGTAAAACGTGAATCGCGTGTTAGACACCCCCTGCACGTGTACGCCATGATTTGTAGTCGCATTTTCCATGTGCAGGCTACGCGCCCTCCAATCAAGACATTCGCAGTCGGCTGTATGGAGACTTGGCCAGATCTTGGACCAAGTTCAGTTAATCCTCATCCTGTCCGCAACAGCTATGCTTCCCCTCGCCGCCTTAGTGCCATTTTGGCCGAGGTGGGTTTTAGAACGTGGCCGTGCGATTGGGTGAAAAGTGGCGCAACATCATCGCCACAGCCCCGCGCAATTCTTCCTCAGGAATATGCAGGAGCAGCAACCGCAGGAGGAGGAGGAGGAGGAGGAGGAGGAGGAGGAGGAGGAGGAGGAGGAGGAAGAGGAGGAGGAGGAGGAGGAGGAGGAGGAGGAGGAGGAGGAGGGGGAGGAGGAGGACGGGGAGGGGGTGGTGAAGGAGTGAGGATCGGGTCGAGGACGCGAGGTCGTCGTCGTCGTCGTCGCCCCCGCCCTTCCGAGGGCCGTCGGGCCGAACTGGCGCCACCTGGTCGACTGCGCGGACTGGGGCGACGACTGCACGGCTAGCCAGTGCTGCAAGCGCCCAGGCTGCCCTCGCCGCCGGCCGGGCCTCCTCTCGAGGACCAGGATAGTGAGGGGGGCAGGGGTGGGATGATGGGGCGCGCGCGGGGCGGCCGCCGGCGGCCCCCGGGTCCCCGGGTTTCGGCAGGGCGGCGGTGGGCGCGGGCCCGTGGGGCATGATTTCCCTGCCCGACGAGACTGGGTCTAGGGTAGGGGGTGGATTTCTTTTCGAAGGACGGCCGTTCCGTGTCGTTCACGCCCACCCGCCCTCCCACCTTATAAGTAACACCCGAGTCCCTGCACTTGCAGGGGCCGAGAATGGCTGTCATCATGCGGGCGCCAGCCAGGTGCGCGATGTCCGCGAGGTGCAACTCGCATGGCTGAGCATCCCTTTTCATCTTCGTCAGATAAGAATGCAATGCGATGTGACCGCGCGGGCGCCAAGATCTTTTCCGGAAGAGTGCCCCTTGTACGGTTTTTGTTTACAGCGATGATGGGGGGCGCGTCGTGGTTCCAGGTTTCCCCCCAAAATGATCAGAGGGAGGAGGTGGGAAGAGCAGGCGCGCTTTTGTATAGAAGCGACAGCAAAGGATGCCCCCCCCGAGGCATGCAGTGCTACGGGAAGAACGAGTGGTACAGCATGTGCACCAAGGAGTGTGCCCCCGGCAGGACCCTTTACGCTCCCCGGTCGCCGCCCAGTGCCGCCGCCAGCGATCGGCGCCGCCGTCGGATCGAGGCCTTCTGTATGTCCGACGCTGTGGCTTTTCCCAGCCAGCATGTGGTTTTTGTTTGTCCTCGTTTGGAAGCCGCAGCGCCGCGCTCGCCTCCTCCGCACCTCTCTGCCCATCGCCGCCCGCATTGCCAACTTCGCTCCACCGCAGGCATCTAGTGGCAGGGTTTCCTCCTCCTCCTCCCTCCGCCTCCTCCTCCTCCTCCTCCTCCCTCCGCCTCCTCCTCCTCCTCCTCATCCTCCTCCTCCTCCTGCGTGCCCGCCTATGTCGTTGCACGCCGCACGCGCGGCGTGGCCCCCCCGGGGGGTCGAGCGCCAGAATGCGGGCCCCGGGTGGCCGTCCTCTCCGCGTGCGGCTCCCCGCCCAGCAAGAGCGCACCGCTCGCACGCTTCTCGTGGCCCCGCAGGGAGCCCCACCGAAGGCCCCAGTGGCCGTCCTCGCATGCGGCTCTGATGGGCCCACTTTCCACCACTACCATAAGTAGGAGAGGGAGGAGGAGGAGGAGGAGGAGGAGGAGGAGGAGGAGGAGGAGGAGGAGAGGAGAGGAGGAGAGGAGGAGGAGGAGGAGGAGGAGGAGGAGAGGAGGGAGGAGGAGGAGGAGAGAGGTGAGGAGGAGGAGGGGGAGGGAGGAGGGAGGAGGAGGAGGAGGAGGGGGAGGAGGAGGCGGAGGAGGAGGACCACCTCATCCTCCCTTCTCCCCCGTCCTACATATGGTAGTGGTGGTGGAGAATTTGCCCATCAGGCTCCCCTCCCTCTTCGGCACCATCCCTATCACATGTTTCGTGGCCCCATCGGAGGCGCCGCCGAAGGCGATCCTCACAATCGAAGAAGAACAAACGCCATAAACACAAACGTTTGGCGCCCCGCGCGGATTCCTTGGATCTGCGCTGGGGCCCACCGGGCGGCGACTCGGGCGCAGCCCCTGGCGCCGGAGGCGCGCCAGGGAGGGGCTCCAGCGCCGATCCGAGAAATCCGCGCGGACCTCCGAGTTGTTATGTTTGTGACTTTCTCCGTTCCCCTAACCACCCCGTTCACATGTTTCGTGGCCCCATCGGAGGCGCCACCGAAGGCGATCCTCACGAGGGCGTTGCCCACGGCTGCAGGTGGTGGGGCCGCTCGCCAGCACACGTTCTCCCCACTGCCCCGTGGCTTCTGGGTCCTCGTTTTGCAGAGACAGCGCCCCGCACCAATCCTTCTTCCTCCCGCTCCTCCCCCTCCGTCTTCGCCCTCCGCGCCCATGTCGGCGCAACCCTCACACGCTTCGTGGTCACATGGGGAGCTCCACCGAGGGCCCCAGTGACAGGGTTAGCACGCTGCTCACCACCCATCTCGGCACACCCCTCACACGTTTCGTGGGCCTATATTGGGAGCTCCACCAAAGGCCCCAGTGACAGGGTTCGTATGCGGCTCTCCGCCCATGTTGGTTGGCACCGCTCACACGTTTCGTGGCAACAAGGGGAGCTCCACCGAAGGCCCCAGCGACAGGGTTCGTGTGCGGCTCCCCTCCCATTTCGGCACACCCCTCGCACGCTTCGTGGTCCCCCACACGGAGCTCCACTGAAGGCCCCAGTGACAGGGTTCGCATGCGGCTTCCCGCCCACTTTGCCACACCCCCTTGCACGTTTCGTGGCCCCATAGGGAGCGCCAACTAAGGCCCTAATCAGATTCGCATGCGGCTCTCCGCCCACCGCAAGTCCATTTCGCTACACCCTCACACGTTTCGTGGTCCCACGAGGAAGCTCCACCGCAGGCCCCAGTGGCAGGGCTCGCTCGCACGCCTCGTGGCCCATATCGAGGGTCCCACCGCGGCACGCATGACTGCATCTTTGGTTGGGCCCTTCCCCAGGATAGCTTTTTCGTCCTCTGGGGCCCTTTGTGGGGCCTTGGGGCCCCTTGGGGGAACGGGCGTGAACGGCCTTGGGGCCCTCCCCCCCGTGTCACGTCACGGCGGTCGTCCTTTGGCGACCACGGTAGTCTTGTAGCGCTCGCAGGCTATTATTGTGGTTCAGCAGGGGAAAAACGCACACAGATAAATTTAATCAACGATCCCCCGGAAAAGATGGGAAATTATGGGAAGTGGGGGAAAAGACGAAAACCTCGAACATATTAGAAGATATGGGGAATAGTTGTATTTGTGCACATTTATTTGTGTGTCCCTGGGCCCCTTTGGTGGTGTTCGGAGGCTTGCCGTGGTTCTCACAGACATGTTGTGTCATTCGCGAGGCAGCGTTGCGGTCACGCTCTTGTTGTGTTCTCAGGAACGCAGTGATGCTCTGTTGCTCAGCATGGCAGGGTGCACATGCGTCTCCTGGCTCATCTCTGCACACCCGTCGCACTCTTCGTTGCCGAATTTCGGCGCACACGCACACACTTCACACGCTTCGTGGCCCCATGGGGAGCGCCACAGAAGGCCCTAGTGGCAGGGTTCACATGCGTCCCCAGGCTAATTTCGGCATGGTACATCCTCACGCGCTTCGTGGCTCCATAGGGAGCTCTACCGAAGGACCCATTTGCAGGGTGTCGCATGGGTCCCCAGTCCCATTCTAGCACACCCCTCACGCGCTTCTTAGTTTCATAAGGAGCCCAACCGAATGCCCGAGTTTCAGGGTTCACAAGCGTCCCCGGGCCCCCCTCGCGCTTCGTGGTCTTATGGGGAGCTCTACCGAAGGCCGCAGTGGCAGGGTTCACATGCGTCCCCAGGTCCTTTTCGACACACCCCTCTCGCGCTTCGTGGCTCCATTGGGAGCTCCACCGAAGGCCCCAGTGGCAGGGTTCACATGCGTCCAAGGTCTGTTTCGGCACACCCCTTCCACGCTTCGTGGCCACATGGGGAGCTCCACCGAAGGCTCATGTGGCAGGGTTCACATGCGTCCCAGTTCCGTTTCGGCACCCCCCTCACACGCTACGTGGCTATAGGGAGCTCCACCGAAGGCTCATGTGGCAGGGGTCGTGTCCCACCGACTCTGTCGGCACACCCCTCACACGCCTCTTCGGCCCGTAGTGAGCTCCACCGAAGGCCCCTGGCATGCGTCCCCCTGCCCATCGTGGCCCCCTCCCGCCGCCCACTGGCCCCTGCCCCCACTGCCCTGTGCATCGTCCTTCCTGTGGCGCGGTGCCTATGAGTGCACAGGCTACGTCCCGCGCTGCTGACAGTTTGTTCGCCCACCTCCATCGTCTCGTCTCCCACGCGGTACTCGCAGCTGCATGTGGTGGGGTCCTTTGCAGTCTATCTTTGTTGCATTTTGAACGGTATGCGTTCGGACCCGTCACGGTTTTCCGGAGCCTGGGCCCAGTCAGGACTGTATGGGGTGTAAGCAGGCTTTGTAGTGTACGCAGACGTGTGCACATGCAGTGTGGTGCTCGCATGGGCCAGGGGCTATGCTGCGCACGGTTGTTGTGGTGGCGCAAGCATCGTGTTGTACCCGGGCGCTGTGATGCACGACGGCACCGCGGGTCAAAGAACAGGGCAGACCGTATTTTGGCCAGAAAGATTAACAATGGGCCCGCAACGAATTTCTAGAGTTTGGGCCCCGTCTGGACCTTGGGGGTGTACACAGGCTTTGTGGTGTATACAAGCATTTTGGTGGTTGCAGGCGCTAGACGCACACGGCTGCTGCGGTTGCACAGGCATCGTGTTGTACACCGGCACGGTGGTTCACGCAGGGGAGCTCCACCGAAGGTCCCAGTGGCAGGGTTCACATGCGTCCAAGGTCTGTTTCGGCACACCCCTTCCACGCTTCGTGGCCACATGGGGAGCTCCACCGAAGGCTCATGTGGCAGGGTTCACATGCGTCCCAGTTCCGTTTCGGCACCCCCCTCACACGCTACGTGGCTATAGGGAGCTCCACCGAAGGCTCATGTGGCAGGGGTCGTGTCCCACCGACTCTGTCGGCACACCCCTCACACGCCTCGCCTCTTCGGCCCGTAGTGAGCTCCACCGAAGGCCCCTGGCATGCGTCCCCCTGCCCATCGTGGCCCCCTCCCGCCGCCCACTGGCCCCTGCCCCCACTGCCCTGTGCATCGTCCTTCCTGTGGCGCGGTGCCTATGAGTGCACAGGCTACGTCCCGCGCTGCTGACAGTTTGTTCGCCCACCTCCATCGTCTCGTCTCCCACGCGGTACTCGCAGCTGCATGTGGTGGGGTCCTTCGCAGTCTATCTTTGTTGCATTTTGAACGGTATGCGTTCGGACCCGTCACGGTTTTCCGGAGCCTGGGCCCAGTCAGGACTGTATGGGGTGTAAGCAGGCTTTGTAGTGTACGCAGACGTGTGCACATGCAGTGTGGTGCTCGCATGGGCCAGGGGCTATGCTGCGCACGGTTGTTGTGGTGGCGCAAGCACCGTGTTGTGCCCGGGCGCTGTGATGCACGAAGGCACCGCGGGTCAAAGAACAGGGCAGACCGTATTTTGGCCAGAAAGATTAACAATGGGCCCGCCACGAATTTCTAGAGTTTGGGCCCCGTCTGGACCTTGGGGGTGTACACAGGCTTTGTGGTGTATACAAGCATTTTGGTGGTTGCAGGCGCTAGACGCACACGGCTGCTGCGGTTGCACAGGCATCGTGTTGTACACCGGCACGGTGGTTCACGCAGGGGAGCTCCACCGAAGGTCCCAGTGGCAGGGTTCACATGCGTCCAAGGTCTGTTTCGGCACACCCCTTCCACGCTTCGTGGCCACATGGGGAGCTCCACCGAAGGCTCATGTGGCAGGGTTCACATGCGTCCCAGTTCCGTTTCGGCACCCCCCTCACACGCTACGTGGCTATAGGGAGCTCCACCGAAGGCTCATGTGGCAGGGGTCGTGTCCCACCGACTCTGTCGGCACACCCCTCACACGCCTCTTCGGCCCGTAGTGAGCTCCACCGAAGGCCCCTGGCATGCGTCCCCCTGCCCATCGTGGCCCCCTCCCGCCGCCCACTGGCCCCTGCCCCCACTGCCCTG